ATCAAATAATCACGTTTCTGCAGATGGTGCAATCCCTGTAGCTCATAATAAATAATACAAGCAACTCAAACACGATGCAAAACAAGATGCCATTGTTTGTCCATGCAATATTAGCATTCGTCTTCTTTGTTGAAAAACTGTTCTCACGATTATTCTTTATTGTCATAATCGTTCCATTCAGCGTGTGATATTGTTCTTGTACCTTTTTTTTCTCCACACTAATGACTCCAGTGAAGTCCGTTATTCTTTATTCCATTCATCACTGTTCCCTACCTCTCTCCACATTTGCTTTGCAGTTACAATCCTCCTCATAGCTGTTATCAATGTTATCGTCAAATCATCATTTACAACAAGCAGTAGCAAAAGGATTCGTTTAATGTAGATTCTCATTCTAACATGACTCTCACCATTACCTGTGCCTGTAATGCACATGCATATCCCTTGTTTTGATTCAATCAATGGCAAAGGTCTAACCAAAAATACTGCACTCAGCTCTCTAATTCCCAGATGCCGTAATACATAGTAATATCAACCCACAGGAATGCACAACCGAACTCTCTCATTGGTGAGTGTTTTTTATTTTTTATTTTATTTTTTTTTGCATAGAACCCCACTCATGTCCATCATACCACTCTCACAGACAGCACACAATGGTTAATCAATCTTCTTCACGCTTTTCATATTGGTTCATCGGTCTCATCTCTTGTAGGATGATATCAACTGCAGCGAGTAGAGCTTCACGATCATCCCGCATTAGCATAGGCAGTGGGGGAAGGTCACGTCGTTCACGAAGTTCTTCAATCAATCTCCACTTCTGGACAACAGACATGCGATTCGGATTCAGCTTACTTATCCTCTTTTGCTCCTCCATAGTATTCATCTCAGACCCCCTATTATTAACGTTTGTACGAAGGGGTAAAGTATTTCCTGCACTTGTTTCTTGAAGAGGTGCGGGTGCCTCTCTCATCTGTCCATCGCTGGGTGAAGCGTTATCATAAGAAAGTGAGCTGCTAACAGAATAATTACTATTCCGGGAGATATCACCACTTTGTACAGATCTAGCTGTATTTCTAGATACAGCAGAAGTTGTTGTAACTTCAGTCTTAGAAGTTGTTGTCAGAGGGTTCGGAGTAATGTCCACTGTGGTTGTTTTACTTGTGGATTGAGAGTCCACAGCATCCATCTGCACCTTTTCTCGCGGTTGTTCTTGTTCTTGTTGTGGTCGCTGACGCAGCACACAATACAGAATGACAGCCACAATAACAAGAACAACCACAACTGTGATAACAATACCAACAATGGCACCAACAGATAATTTATTCGAGCTTGGCGCCACTGCTGAGTCACCCTCCGGC